GGGGGAGGGGAGGGGGAGGGCCGAAGACCAGGAGAGACCGGAGCCGCCGGGCCCCGCGGAGCCGCAACGCCGAGAGCCGCCCTCCCCGCCCGCCCGCCTCCTCCTCCTGCTCCGCCTCCTCCTCCTCCTCCTCCTCCTCCTCCTCCTCCTTCTCGCCGCCGCCGCCGCCGCCGCCGCCCGGGCCGGGAGCAGGAGGAGCGGGAGGAGGTGACGGCGGCGCGAAGTGAAGGGAAAGAAAGGCGGGAAAGGCAAGACCAGGCGAGTCGAGGGGAGGCCGGAAAACAGCCGGCGGACCCCGGGAAACTAAACGGAGAAGGGGCGGGGCAACGGCTCGAGGCCCCGGATGAGCGGGGGCGGGGCCAGGCCGAAGCCCCGGATGGGGAGGGGGGGCAGGGAGGTAGGCGGGGCGAGGGGGAGGGCTAGCCCTGGGAAGGCCACGGGGCCGGGGACCGAGAGCCCGGCTAGGCCCTGACCACGTAGGGCTGCGAGCAGAGCGCGCGGGTCGGGAAACTGCCCGGCTGAAGAAGCCAAGGAGGGGGGGCGGGGGGGGGCGGGGCGCAGGCCCTTCAGCCGCCGCAGGCTTTTCCTCCTCCTCCTCCTCCTCCTCTTCTTCTTCTTCTTCCTCCTCCTCCTCCTCTTCCTCCTCCTCTCCCTCCCGACTCCAGTCTGCAGGCCCCGCCCCGCTCCACCAGGTGACTGACAAAAACAAACACCCCCGACGCGGCCGAGCCCCACGGCGCGCGCAGGCGCACTGGTCGCGAAGGAAAGCCCTCCCCCTCCCCTTCCATTCTCCGCCACTCCCCTTCCATTCTCCGCCCCGCCCCCGTCGCTCATCGAGGGCAGTGTACCGGGCGGGGCGGAGAGTGGGACAGGCAGCGGTTAAGTCCGGGCCCGAGCCCCCTGTTCCGTGTCGGCGAGCGGCGGAGGGCACGAAGGCCTTTGCGACTTGCACAGCCGGGGACTGAGGGGAGGCGCAGCGGCCAGAGAGGGCAATCCCACCACGGGCGCCCGCCCCTCCCCGCCTGGCGAGTTGCCACGGCGCGTCTCACACGCTCCGCCGCAGCGTCACTTCCGCCCATCACCCTCTCCCCGAGCCCCTCGCCCCATCGACCCGCTTCGTCGCGCAGCTGAGGAAGGGCCGAAGCCCTCCCCTCCCCTCTCATTGCTCGCCCTTGCCTGTCAGTCAAACTAGAGGCTCGCTCCGCCCACGCCCCCCCCCCCCCCCCCGGTCCTTCGTCTCGCCCCGCCCCGCCAGTTTGCAGATTCGTCTCCCCACCCCCACCCCATCCGTGTACAGCCGCCTTTCGGCATTCAGCGGTCCATGCTGCCCCCTACTGGTAGCCAAGGTCTCCGTATCCTGAGGCCTACGTCCTTTTCCTTTCCCCCACCCCCCCATCTTGGCTACCAGCCAGCCTTCACCGTGTTCTGCCTGCCAGAACTTCCCCCCACGCCCCAACCCCTTTAAAAGCTCACGCACCTCAAGAGGTTCACAAAACCATCCTCATTTCCTTGCCGAGCCTTCTAAAGTTGGCAGCACCTCTGGGCTCTGCCTCCCAGACCCCCCTCTCTCTGGGAGGGTCAGCCAGACCATTTCGGCCCTTGCTTTCCCACCATCCACTGGGGCAGGCTAGCTAGCCTGGGCTGGAATGGCAGGGGTGGCAGGGATCAGATTCATTTCCCAGATAAGCAAGGTGAGACCCAGACTGGGAAGGAGTGGCTGCTGTGACCCAACTCAAGCACTTTCTGATGTCACCTCCAGTCCAGTACCCCACATTGCACACCCCACCCCCACCCCCGGCCCATTCCCCACTCGAGGGCCAAGTCCTCTTTTTGTTTGTGTGTGGGTTTTTATTGGTTTAAACTGCATCCAGTAGGCCACTGGCTTCGAGCGTGGGGCAGGTGGGGAAACCTGAGACGTGCCGGGAAAGAGGCAAGCAAGTAGGCAGCTGATGGAGGGGATCTAGGACACAGAAGGGAAACCGAGGCAGGTTCTAAGAGCACCTCTCCTCCTGGCCCTTAGTTCTCTCCCCAGAAATTCAGCTGGATCCCAAGGGCAGAACGGCGGGATACCAGAGGCTCTTCGCATCAAACAGCTAGGCTGGGAGCTATTGTGGCCTATGTCATGGGGGGAGGGGGGGCACCAGAAGGCGGGATGTTGGGCTTATGCTCCAAAGGGCGAAGACCCCGTGGCTCACTTTCTGCTATTCTTCCCTTGCTGATCTCCATGCCCCTCCGCTATTCCACCTAATCACCTGTCTCCACATAAAGAAGGGCAATCCGTGGAGAGAGGACACAGCAGTCTGGTGAAGCTCTGGGGAGACAAGTGGAGGGGCCCTCTGCCGGCTATCTCTGCTGTCGCTGACATCTCCCGTCAGCCTCTGCTAGCCCAGCTGGTGAGCATCTACTCCCAAGGTACCCAGGGCCACCGGCCACCACTTCAGTCTTCCCTGACAATTGGGTTCCTTCCTGCTGGCCCAGTCAGTCACAGGTCCTAGGAACAGGTAAGCTGTGGGGAGACCCCCAGGCTCACCCTCTGCCATCCCAACTGATGATGTCCATGTCTCTGGGGGACAGAGAAGAGGGGACATGAGTGGAGCTAGGGTTCTCCCTCCCCCCAACTGGGTTCTTGAATTAGAGCACTGACCTACCGCCCCCACCCCCCATTCCACTGCACCACCAAACTGTCCTGTTTGGGGCAGTGGAGGAGGTGGAGGAGGTTGAAGAGGGGCTGAGATGGGGGCCCTCCCCCTCCCCCCACCACTAGAATATCTCATTGCATAGCTTGGGGCAGGAAGAGAAGGGCGTGCCCCTCATCTGCCTCACTCTGCCCCCTCCAAATATGGCTTTGAAAACAAAACAGGGAAACATCCAAGGTGGGAGAGTGATGCCCCAAAGGAAGAGTGAAGGCCCCTGGTCACAGGGAGGAGATTTTGACAGTGTTGTGCAGAAGGTAAGAAGGGCCCAGGCTGGAGTTCCGGAGGGCCCCCCTGTTGCTGCTGCTGCTGCCCCCAGAGGGTCTTCCAGGCCCCTCCCCACTGTCACTGGCAGGCGAATGTGGCCGGCTCTCATCTGGGGTGTTGGCTGGAGGGGTGGGGATGCTGATGATGGCTGCCACCAGGTCCTGACTGTCACAGTTCAGGGTCAGGCTATCATGAGTCTTGGCATTGAGGCTGGCTCGGCTGGTGGATGGAAGCAGAAAGTAAGAGAAGGTCCCAGGGTAGGATCCAAGATCTGCCACCTCGGGTAAGACAGTCTGACCCCCAAGCCTCAATTTCCTCATCCATAAAGTGGGAGGGGCATGGGGAGACTAAATGATCACTAAGATTCCTTCCAGGGTAAATGTCTTGAGTCCCCGCGCAGTGAAAGAATCAGTGAGTGGGGGCACTCCATCGTACATATGGCTGTTCACTTTTGCTCTAAATTCTCATCTTAGTGGGAGTGAGTCACTTGGTGGGCAAGAGATTGGATTCAGCTTTATTTGCACCTGGGGCACCTAGGGCCCCCTACCCAAATCTTCACTTCCTGGCTCCAGGTGACGAAGGCCACGTTACCTCTGGGGTCCTGGGCTACGGTGCCCAGCAAGAGTGTCCAGCTCCTGCATGCTGCCTCGGCTAACAGAGGCCGTGGAATTGGCCAGGCGAATGGCCCGGCGCTGCTTGCTCTGTCTGGGGCAGCAAGAAGAGATCAGACCACTAGCCCGAGCACTGGTGCCTATGACAGCCTGGGAAGACACAGAGGTGCTTCGGCTGGTTCGGCCACCCAGGGAAATGACTCCCAGTGCCTCACTGAAGGTGGACTCGTCTGTGAACTCATGTGACTGGGGGGAGAGAAGAGACAAGAGACAGAGACGGGGAGAGAGAGAGGAACAGAGAGAGACAGAGTAAGTAAGCATCATCCAGAGGTGGCTCTTGGGGAGTGGGGAGGGGGGCAGAAGGGAGACAGACAGGGGAAGGATCTCACCGTGGTCTTTTCCAGACAGTGCAAAAGATGATGGTGTTGCTGTTCAAAAGCTGAGCGGCTTCGTGTGCTCAGCGCTGGCCTTTCGGCACCGTCTTGGTCCTAGGTCACATGGGCGGAGCATCAAACCCTCATGCCTTGCCCCCCTCCCATGGCTTCCCGAGCCCCTCCACGCCCACCACCCAGGGCAGAGCCCCACCTCCAGGCCCCTGTTGCGCTTATACTGAAGGAAGGCCGTCGTGGTCCCGCTCTTGGCCATTCGGATCCTTGCCAGCCGCACTTTCTGCTGGGCCCGGCGCTTATCAGCACGCTGGTTCTGATGGTAGATTCGGCTGAAGTTGGAGACAATAACAGGCACCGGCAGGGCAATGACCAGCACCCCGCTGAGTGAGCAGATGGAGCCAAAGATCTTGCCGGCGATTGTGCTGGGCACCATGTCCCCGTACCTGCAGGCACACACCCAATGGTAGATTGGGGCTCTCCCTCGGCCTCACGGGCCCGAGTGGAAGGAGTCCTCACTGAAAACTGCTCACTGACCCAAACCCTAAATGCACCGCGCAGGAACAGGTGGGGGAATGGAGACGGGGGACCTAGCGCCCTCTCTGTCTAACCCTCTGGGAAGAAGCCATTTGTGATGTTCAGGTGCGACCCAGACATTTGACAGAAAGGGAAACCGAAGCCCACGTTGGAGACAATACTTCCTCAAAGCCACATGGCAGGACTTCAAGCTCCCTCAGGGCCTCAGCTCTCCCTTCTTTATAATGACGTGTTCTCTATCCCTAAGCTCCTATCTGACTTGGAGATGGCACAGTGGAGGGGGAGTCAGTTGCCCGCAGGGGCCTGGATCCACTCTGCTGGGTGGGTGGCCTCAGTTGACTTACACACAGACCATGAAAAACTACTCAAAGGCTCTTCCACAGCGCCCACCCCCGCTCTGAGCCCTGCTGGAGATCCCTCTGAGTGCCACGATCACGTGAGTGCCTGCCTGGCAATTCCTGAGTGACCTGGGCCAAGGTCTCCACCTTCTCTTTGCCTCAGTCCCCAATGCCCTTTCCACCTCTGGAACCGCCACGAGCCATCTGGAAAGCCTTGGGAGGCCCAAGCCAGGCAGTGAGTGCACACAGTTCCAGAGGGCTGATGCAGAAACTTGAGAGGGGACAGACTCAGGATACAGAACGAGACATACGTTTTTGGACATGGCCAACCTGGGGATCTGGCTTGTTTGTCATGGAGGTTTTCCTTTTCTTAATCGTTCAGTGAGGAGGGCAGGGAGAAAAAGAAACACTTATTAATTGAAAGAGAATAAAATTGATCTGGAGAGAAGAAAAAAGAAGAAATCAAGGCTCTCTTAAGTCTCCCTGAGACTCTGGAATTCCATGGCTTGGCCGTTTCTGAGAGATTATCAAGGCCTGATTGAGAAGCATGATACCACCTGGATCTCCTCAGCTCTCTGTGTGACCCAGAGCAAATCCCTCAGTGACTCCATTTATCCCTCTGGCTCCTGAGCCCCGTTCTGACTGTGAGACCAAGGTCTGATGCCACCTGGCCACCCCAGGGTGACTCCTTCCCTCTTCCTTATCCTGTAACAAAAAGGGGGTTGGGGGCCTAAGAACATCTTCAAGTCCCCTTCAGGTCTGGAGGCTCTCCAAAATCGGATGGCTTGCCACCACCACTCCCATGGAGAAATGGGCCTCACAGACTCCAGAACCCCTCCACACGGACTCCAGAACCCCTCCACACTGGGTGACTTCCAGTCAGTCCCTTTTCTTCCCTGGACCTTGGTCTCGCCCCCATTCTCCATCCTTCTGACAAAGAGAGACAGAACGGGAGACTGGATATCACGTGTTGTCCTTGGAGTCAGAAGACGCTGCTGACCAAGCCCCTCAGCCTCTCTGAGACCCCCTCTGTAACATGGGGACTCTCATCACACCCGCCGATTTCTGTGCCATCATCCTTTCCGTCCAGGTCACTTACCCAAGAGTGGTCATAGTAACGATGGTGTACCAGAAGGCGGCTGGGATGCTGGTAAAGTTGGTCTTGCTGGTGCCCTTCTCGGCATAGAACATGACGGTGGCGAAGATGATGATGGCCATGGTGAGGGAGAAGAGGAGAAAGCCCAGTTCAGAGGCGCAGCTCTTGAGTGTGTAGCCCAGAATCCGAAGGCCCTGGGAATGCCTTGAGAACTTGAAGATTCGGAAGACTCGGAAGACTCGCAAGGTCACAAAGGCCCCAGACAGATCGTCATTCTTGGGCACAAAGAGCCCGATGTAATAGGGCAGGATGGCTACAGCGTCGATGAGGCTCATGACACTGCGGAGGAAGCGGCCCCGACTGGGGGCCGCAAACAGCCGCAAGAGGTACTCCCCGGTGAAGATGAGCACACAGGCTGTGTCCATGCAGAAGAAGGCCAGTGGGAAGCGGTCCCCACAGGGCTCCTCCTGCCAGCCAGCCCGGCCACCAGCTGCACAGGGGATGGTCTCTACCACATTGGCGATGACAGAGACCGCGATGAAGAAGCCTGTCACGTAGTAGAACACTAGTGCCATGGTGCTCGTATGTGGGTTCTCAAAGGCTCGCCACAGGCGCTGGCGAAAGGGGCTGCCAGGTGGCAAGGCCCAGTCGGCCCCAGCCCCTCCAGGACCCCCCAGCTCGGCCTCCTCGTCCTCGGCCAGGCGTTCAGCATTCTCCTTCTTGCGGTCTCGATACTCTTCCAGGCAACAGTCGCCAATGAGCTCCGGCACTATGCCATAGAATGCTAACTCTTCATCGAAAGCCTGAGGGACAGGAAGGAACTGGAGAGGAGAGGAGGGGAGCAAGGGGGCAACTGCCCCTCTCAGTGTGCCCCCCGCCCTAGGGAGGAAGCCTCTCGATCTCCTTGGCCCCAGCCTTTTTCTCTCTGTTGGGAGGGTGGGACTCCCTGACTACCCAGCAGTCACCCTGAGTAGGAGCCTGAGACTGACCCACTCCACTTGCTGCCAGGAAAGCACTGGGGGAGTCTTATTTTGTTGGACTGCCCAGACAGAAGGAATCTGGGTGGAGTCCCAACCCTCTCTCCCAAGAAAATGTTGACCCTTTCTGAAGCCATTGGCCCCCCCTGTGTGCTTGCCCAGGGAGAGCCCTGAGGTCTTTTGCAGAATCCTGCCGGAGTCCCCAGACAATCTCTTCCCTGTCCGTGCCACGCCCCCCACCAACTTTATATACTGAGGCAAGTGGTGACCTTCCCTCAAGCAGGCCCAAGGCTCACCTGGATGCACTCCTGTCTGGGACAGTGGAGGCGTCCAGTTCTGTAGAAGTTGAGGACGTGCCTGAAGAGGTCCGGGTCCCGGTCAAAGAAGTATTCACCCGAGTCTGGGTCAAAAAAAAATTCCTTTTCTGAGCTGCCCAACAGTGTATCTGGGTATCGGTCCAACGTATTCTTCCACGTCTGGAAGCGTCGCCCACTGACATTCACCACCAGCACTTCGTCGCTGCGGGCCTCACATCCCTGGGGGGCAGCAGGCAGTGGCTGCTGAGCTAGGGGGAGCCAGCCCACAGCAGCTGCCCTGGCAAAAGGCAGCCAGGTCGCTACCCCAGCTGCCATGCTCCAAGCACTCAGCCCCGTACAGGCAGGGCTGGGCACGGGCTGCCAGGACTGCCTGACCAACTCAGGCGGGCATCTGCCTCGGAAACACCAGGATGTAGCTGCAGGAGATCGAGGCTGAGGTGGCACAGGCCCAAAGTCAGACTGGGCTGAGGAGAGAGAGGAGGGGGCCGAGGGGGGAAGGAGGCTGCGTGCCAGGTGAGGGTCGGAGAGGAGAAGGGGCTCTGAGGGCCAGAAGCGAGGCCGAGGCAGCCTCGGGGGATCAGAGAGCCAGGCTGAGCTGGAGAAGGGGCTGCAGATAGGGGGCCTGAGCGCTGGCAGGGGAGGGGGCTGGGCTGGGCCCCCGTAGCCAAGGGACCGGGATTGGGGCTTAAGCTCTGGGGCTGGGGCCGGCTCCAAAGGGCAGAACAGGGATCTTCCCCGGGGCAAGGGACTGCCAGGGGCCAGGTGGCGGCCGGTGCTGGTGTGGGAGTAGAGAGTAAAGCTGTGGGGCTGGGGCTGGGCTCTGCGCAGGGGAGGAGACTGAGGCTAGGGGGCTGGGCCCTCCCCACAAGCCGGCGATGGAGCAGCGGTGGTAGGGAGGCTCCCCTTCCACTCTGCCCTCCTCAGCCCAGCCAGCCTGCTGCCTTCTCCCGGCCCCTCCCCTTGCCCCTCCCCGGGGGCGGGGTGCCTGGGCTCCCCATTGCAGCCGCGGCAGCTGCTACAGCTTCTCCTGCTCTAGCAAGCGGGAGGCTGCAGGAGAGGAGGGAGGGGTCCCGACACCGGTGAGGAGCTTTCTTAGCCCCCAGCCCCCAAGCCTGCGTTCTCTCCTCGGGGCAACCCCTAGCTCTCCGTCGGGGGGGGATCAGTACCTGAGCCTCCCAATTCCCTTCTCCGTGCCTAACCCAGCTCTCCACTGCCCATGCCTGAATGCCAGCCGCCTCCTCTTCCTGGGCGACACTAGACCACCCCCACCCTCCCATCAGTCCTCTCATCGACCAACCAAGCCCTCCCTCCCTCCCTCGGTCCCTGGGGTTGGAGCTCAGCAGCACTTAGCTGGAAACAGCTCCGATCGATGGGCGGTAGGAGGCCGCCGGAGCCATTAATGGGACTTGGAGGAAGAGGGGGAGGGAAGGAACGCAATTCTTGCTGTGTCGTCCTTCAGTGGGGGAGGGAAGCCAGTGTTGCTGTGTGGGGGTGGGAGCAGGGAGGTTGTCCCCACTGAGACCCAGACACTTAATGGGCCCATTCTAGATAATCTTGGGTAAGGTGGTTGTCCCTAGCCCTTCTGAAAAATGGGTATTCAATACAGGAGGAATGGGTTCCTTGCCGCAAAACTCGAAGGGAGGCCATGACCGGCAGCCAAGGCGAGGTCTTAGGATGTGGAGGCACCATCCTCAGAGCCCCGGGCTACCCCAGTCTAGCCCTGGACGCTTAGCAAGTAAGAGGCAACAAGATTTTCAGGCAGGAGAGGAAGGTAGGACGTTATTCTTTCAGGGAAATAGGGCCACACAAGTCAGGACCTCGACAGAGCACACAGGCAAAGCACAGTACATCTGGACTGCGAACCTCTTTCCCCAGTTCTCCCACCCCACCCCACCCCACCCCACCCCCCCCAAAAAGTGCAACAGCCACAGTGGGCCAGGAGACATAAATAGAGAGAGAGCCAAGTCACACAAAGTCATGCACAGGGACAGATGCGGGCTGAGGGGCCTGGCTAGCCTGCGCCCCCTGCCCAGGCTGGGCCAGCCGGCCGGGCTGCATCTCGTCCTCAGCTGGCATCTCCAGACACGGAAGGGGAGGATTCTGCACCCCCAACACACTCCTTGCTGAGCCTCACGATTTCCTGTGAGAGCACTTCCATGTCCTGGGGGTGGAGCCAGAGTCAGACCCCCCCCAGCACAGCGCCTCACCTCGCCTCTCCTCGCCCCACCCCACGCCCCCCGCACTCTGGCTGTTCCAGACCTAGAACCGCTATGGAGAAGGGGCAAGGGAACAGTCCCCCAGTGCTTCACCCTGAGCCAATTTCCAACCACCTTTCTGGTCCCGGAGGTGGGCAATGGGGGCCGGGCCTGCCTCCTGCACACCTTGTGTAGATGCATGTTTTTGGTGAGCTGCTCTTCCAGCATGTTCTGGAGCTTCTTATTCATCTCCCGGAGGTTCTCATCTCCTGGCTTCACCAAGTCCCGAAGGACACTGCCCAGGCCACTTCTGTCTGTGTGGCCTGACGGGCCGGACACGTCTGGGGGGTGGGGGGGAAAAGCAGGGCCTGAGACTTAGGCCTTGGGCTCTTCCCGCCCCCACCTCCAGACCCGGACATGGCCCCACAAGGAGACAGGGAAGGAAGGAGGGGAGGCCAAGCAGGTGGGGCAGAGCTGACCAATGCGGCTGTCCATGACATAAGTCTCGATGATGGCACTCTTCCGGCACAGGTCCTCAGCCATCGAGGCACTGCTCACCTCCAGGTGCTTCACCTGTGAAGACCCAGAGTCCCAAATGTCCTCCCAGGCCCAGCCTGGGCCCACTGCCCCTCCCCTGAAGGCCCAGGGTGTGCACCTTCTCCTCCAGCATCCACTTCTCCTGCTGAGTCTCTGCCAGCCGCTCAAATAACTCAGCCACTTCTTCGTCTGACAGCTCTGCCGGCCGAGCTGGGCCTGGGGGGCTCCCTGAGGAGGACTAGAGAGGGCCACGAAACCTTGGGACTGCCAAGTCCCCCCACTCCCTCCCCATTGGACCCTGGGCTGAGGCACATTTGAACTGAAATCTCCGCTGAGCAAACCTTCCAAGCCAGCAGTCTCTGTGCCACTCGGCTGCCCCACCCTCCCAGCCTCCTGCCCTCCCTTCTCCCCAGGGCTGGGGGGGGGGGGGGGCATGGAAGTTAACTCCCTGTACCCGAGCTGGACCAGCTGAGCCCTCCTTCTCCCGGAGGATCTCCCGATAGCTGAAAGAGGAGACACTGCTGCTATCACCCGTTTGTGCCCGGCTGGGGGAGCTCATCTCTGACAGGACTAGCTCCTCAAAGCCTGGGGGACAGAGGGGGACAGGGAAGAGGCCTCAGTCCTCACTCTCTACCCCCAGGAGGGAGACAGACACACAGACACAGACACACAGAGACAGACACAGACAGACAGACAGCCAAACAACAGACACAGACACACAGACACAGACACACGCACGCACGCGAGTGCTCGCTCACAGCCAGGAGGGAAGCAGCCTGGAGAGGCTCCCAGGTCCGCTCCCCAGCCCCCGTGGCCGGGCGCCCTCTCCCCTTCCCTGGGCAGGTGCCCTCTGGCGCTCTCGCTAACCTGAGCGGCTCTTGTTATTGGTCAGGAGTTCCTGGAGGCGCTCCTGAAGCTTGTCGGCACGCTTCCGTTCTAGCTGTAGCTGCCTCTTCAGGTCTTTCAGCTTTGGAAGGGGACACAAGGAGGAAGATACTCAGAGGGCAGGTGCAGGAGCTCGCCCTGGAGCTCTGAGGACTGCTGGCCCAGGCCGTCCACTCACCGCGGCACTCCCCTTCTTCTCAAGGATGCGCTGCCCATCCGCCACATCCTTCACCTCCTGCTGCAGCCGAGTGATGGTGTCCAGGTGGTCGCCACATAAGGCCTCAGCCTCCCGCAGCCGGCCCTCAGCTGCCTGCACGTCCTCTTCTTTCCGCTAAGGCCAGCCGGTGCGATGAGCCCAATGGGCCGGGTTGGGCTAGGCCCCACCCCCGCCCCCGCCCCCACTCTTCAGGGGCCCCGGGCCCACCTGCAGCTCAGCCTTGTGGCGCTCCTCCTCCACATGAAGGCTCTCTTGGTGCTCCTGATGCTGCTTCTCTAAGGTCTCCTGCTCGTGAAGACAGCAGGCCTGAGCACAGCCAGCCTGGGCTGCTGGGGTCTGGAAGATGAGTGGGGGCAGGTGGGGGGGCAGGCTTTACCTCTGCCTCTTTCAGGCGCCGCTCAAACCAGCCCTTGGCTCCTTCCATTGACTGCAGCTGGGTCCGCAACTCCTCCACCATCTGCTGCAGGCTCTCCAGCTCCCGGGTCCGAGCCTGAAGGAAGACGGGTCCCGGTAACAGCTTGCCCCCCTTCCCCACCTTGGAGAGCACCCCAAACTCATCCGATCCCAAGTGGAAAGGACCCTCTCCCTTGATGACTCTGTTGCTGTTCTGAACTCCAGCAGCCTGGCGGGTTGCCCTGCCTCGTGTCTATCCCCTCTCCAATCCAGCCTCCATTCTGTTGCCACATGCACCACTCCCCTCCTCAATGAAGTCTGGTGGCTCCCTAGTGCCTCCAAGATCAAATAGAAATGCTTGAGCCTGGGGTTTCAAGGCCCTCACCAACTCTTGTCTTCTTACAGCTCCCTCTCTACACACTCCATGCTGGGCCGCTTCTAGTGGGAATGCCCACCCTCCCTCCTCTGCTAAAGGACCTTTCTGCTTCCCCCTCCCCCAAGTAGAACAGAAGCTTCACAACTCGATGGGGAAGGCCTCACCTTCTCTTCCCGGATCTGGGCCCGGAGCTCTTCCTCCTGCCGCCGCCGGCCATCATGGAGCTGCCGGAGCTCCCGCTCATAGCGAGCCCGCACTGCCAGCACGTCCTTTTCTGCCTGCAGCCTGGCTGAGCCCAGCTCCTCCTTGTGTCTTGACTTTTCCTGCAGCGCCTCAGCCGCCACCTCATCCAGGAGGACCTTCCTCTTTTCAGCGCTCTGTAGGGCACAGCTGAGCTGGGCTCCCAAGGCCCCAGGACCCCGACCTTGTGGACTTCAGCAATAAGGCACTCCGCCAGGCTGCTAGAACGTCACTAGTGCCTTCCCAAAGGGAGCTGACCACGCTCTCCTCTCAACCACCTCGCCCATCAGATCGTAAAGCATTCCAGCATTCCCTTGGCCAAAAAAGGAAGCCCAGAGAGTCGGGCCCACTGGCTTTGGGGTCACTGTTCTTTCCAGCTGTTTCCTGACCATCCTTTTATCACCAAGAGGCTGATGCGATTGGAATGTAACAGGTGGCAGAATCCCCAGTTTCCGGCCCAAACATCCTGACAGAGCTAACTCCAAAGCCCACATCAGGGCCCTGAAAACCCCTAAGTGACCTGCCAGATCCTCAGGGTTTTCCTAGCACCCTGAAGAGTGCCCCAAATCCCCAGGACATTGCAGAGAATTACCGAGAGGCTTGGGGAAGGCAGCCCCACCTCCAAGGTCTGTGCTCCTCAAGAACCCAGGCAGCCTGAGCTTCTGCTCACCTTCCGGGCCTCCTCCAGTTCCCGACTAACACGTTCTTTCTCTTGCCCCAGGGCCTGGAGCTGTTCCAGAAGTCGTCCATTCGCCCGGAGTGATTCCTGAGGAGTGTTAAGGACTGTTAAGCAACTAGACCCGCCAAACCATGGCCTTAGCGCAAGGGGGAAAAGGGAGGCAGGTAATCATCACTCACCTGGAGCTGGGAGCGAAGATCATCTCTCTGGCCTGCCAAGGCCTCAAACTCTGCCTGGCACTGCTGCAGCTCTGTGGCCAGGCCTGCAGTCTGCTCCCGCAAGGCACACAGCTCCTGGGTCTTGGCTGTCTGGATCTGAGGGGGGCCCCAGGAGGCACAGGGGCCTAAGAGGGCCATCCCACGGATACCGAGAGAATGAGCAAGGGGGAAGAGGGAGAGCACACGCCAAAGGGAGATGCAGAGAGCCAGGGCCACATGGACAGGGCACACCCCAGCCCCAATACCTGCTCTAGGGCAGCCAGGTTGGTCCGCAGGGCATCATTCTCTGCCAACAGTGCCTGCACCTGCTCCTGTGAGTCTGCACTTTGGCAGGCTGCCTGGCTCCCCAGGAGCGCAAAGCCCGGGGAGAAGACACAGAGGGATCCAGAGGAAGAGAAAGGGAGAGAGAGAAAAAGAGAAACGCAAATCCACACAGACCATGTGGTGCCAGGTTTTCCCGAGACCCGTTTTTTGCCAGTGGATAGAGCAGCCTCAAACCATACCTGGTCCTGGAGGGCACGGAGGGTGCTTGCGTGGTCCTGGCGTTCAGCTTGGCACTGTTCCCTTAGCTCGGCTAGGCTCTGAATGGGGCAGGGCAAAGCAAAGTGAGACTGCTTGGCTCTCTGGCTCACCATCCCTCCCCTCGAACCATGGGCAACCTGGTTGGCTGCCTGGAGCTCCTGTTGCAGCTTCTGAGTCCGGACTAGCTGGGCTTTAAGATCCGCCTCTTGCTGCTGTCGAAGTTCTTCAATCTTATTCCTGCCAGGGCATAGGATAAAGCGCGCTGGCGACCCGGCTCCTCGGCTCCCTCGGGTCTTCCGAGCCACACCCAGCCCCGTACCTGCTGTCGTTGTATAAAGCCTCCTTCTCCGTCTGCAGGCGGAAGAAGCTAAGCAAGGGAAGGAAAGAAAAGTGGGCCGGGCAGCTTCGGGACCCTCCCCTGGGTCCCTCCCGAAGCCCCAGGTCCCAAGGGGTCCCCACGTACCTCTCCTGTTTCTTCTTCAGCTTCTCCGACAGCTGTGGGACAGAAAGGCGATGGGCCTCAGGACACAATGAAGTCAACGCGAGGGACTGGGAGTGTTGGGAATTGAAGGAACAGAGGGTGACTAAGAGATGAGCAGGACAGAAGCCTGGCTCAGGCCTACCACTGGAAGCTACCATGGACTGGCAAGAGAGCAACAAGAGATAGCGCCCAGGCTCCTCCTACCCAACAGACTGGGGGGGGATTCTGGGAGAAAGGGCCAAAGACTCACTAGAAAGCAAAGGAGCTGAGCCAATTATAGTGCAAGACAGCCATAGTGGTTTGGTGCTAGGAAAGGGAGGAGGAGCTGAAGTGTCAGGGAAACTGAGACCTGGGGGAGAGGGAAGGGGATACCAGCTGTGGCCTCCTGTCACAAGGGGCCACGCAAAGTCCCACCTTGGCTACCTCCTCCTGCAGTTTTGCCGTCTCCGCCTGCTTCGAGCTCTGTAGATGTACGCAGACCCCAACGGATATATGGGGTGTACTGGTGACGTGACCTCCTTGAGGCACCTCCCACCAGCCCCGACGCCTACCTCAAGTCCCTGTAAACGCTCCCGAAGTAGCCTCTTCTCTTCCTTCTCCACTTCCCGCTTCAGCCTGGCCTCTGCCAACGGGGGTGGGGCTACCGGCCCTCCTGGAGGATCCCCACAGCCCCCTGCCTCATCCTTTCCAGCAGTCCGCAGCAGGCCCGGGGAACCTGTCTGCTCTTTCTCACAGCGTTCCTGCAGGGCTGAGCACATGGGGGGTGGGGCTAAGCCCCCGCCGCCTCCTCAGGGAACCCCAGGCCCCCTCTTGCCAGCACCTTTTGGGACCCTGGGCTTCTACCTGTAACATTCCTCTGGAGGGCTGTGTTCTCTGCCTGCAGGCGCAGAAGCTCCCCATCCATGGGGCTGCTAGCTGTGCTCGGGGGCCCTGGACCCAGGGAGCCCTCCTTTAACTGCTGGTTCTCTTGCTCAAGCTGCTCGATCTGTGCACAAAGCTGAAGGATAAAGAGGCCCTAGCATGAGAAGCTCATGACTACAGAAGTAGGCAGGGACGGGGGCAGGCCTCAAGACCCCCAGCCAGGCCCTTCCTCATTCCCCTCCCCTGCCAGGGATCCACAGACCTTGCTGAGCTCTTGAAGGAGTGTGCTGTTCTGCAGCCGGAAGTCATCTTCCTGACTGTGGAGCTTCCCCTGCAGCATCTGGTTCTCGCTGAGCAGAACTTCCACTTCCTAGGACATGCAGAGGCGTGCACATGTATGCACGAACGGGAGGGAGTATACAAAACACACATAGGCATGAAACACACGAAAAACCAGCCAAGCCATATCAAAGGATGAGGAGATGAGGGAGAGAGAGAGCAAGGGAAGAGCGGGGGGGGGGGGGGGGGGGGGGGGGGGGGGGGGGGGGGGGGGGGGGGGAGAGGGGGGGGGGGGGGGGGGGGGGGGGGGGGGGGGGGGGGGGGGG